GTCCAGCCCAACCCCTGCTCTAGCGGGGTCAGCTGGCACAGGTTGCCCAGGACGTTGTCCAGTTCTGAATATCTCCAAGGATGGTAACTCCACAGCCTCTGGGCAACCCGTGCCAGTGTTTGACCACCCTCCTAGACTGGTGTCATCTGTGAACTTGGTACACTGCTGGTACGCTCTGCCTCATCATCCAGATCATTAATGAAGAGGTTGAGCAGGACTGGTTATTGACCCGCAGGATCTGTCCAGCCTTCCTTGAGCCCTTCTCCAGCAGCATCTCGGAGAGCTCAGGTCTTTCCTGGAAAACCACGGTGGAGGTGAAGAGGAACGGAGACAGGGGGCAGGGAGCAGCGTGGCTTGGGCAGTGGCTATCTCAGCTTTGACCAAATCGGATGGAGATACAGTTTGGAGAAGAGCCAGGACAGCAAAACACAGCGCTAAAGCCCGATAGCACGGCAGGCACAGGGTTTCCCTTCGCAGCAAGTCACGGGCGCCGCTGCCGGACCAGCCTCCCCCAGCTGCGGCAGGTTGCGCGAGGTCAGTAATTAAAAGCCTGAGCCCCAGCCAGGGCTCAGGTCCTTCATCTGCGCTTTCAGTGAACAGGACAACAGCGCTGTCTTTCCTTTCTCTCCCATTAAAGAAATGCACAGATTTAGAAGAATAATTTTTATTCAATGCAACAAATTCCCGTTCAATACAACTATGAAATAAAAGCCCAAACCAGCATAACTAACTTCACATACGTCACCCAAGCGAGGCACAACTCAGCTGGAATAGATGGCACCTTAGCAAAAAAGCCTGACAGGTATAAAAATGAACTTGGCCCTGGTGAGGGCAGGGAGGGAGTGGGGGTCCCAGTGCTGCCTCAGGGTGGAGCCCAGCCAGCTCACGGGACAGGCACTGCGGGGTGTTTCCTCTTCCAGACCAAGGTATGAGCCACGCTGGGGTGTTTCGGCACCCAGCTTAGGATCTCCAGCGGCTGCCGGCGGGGCTGGAGCAGGGTCCCCAGCACCCAGACGGTGATGCCCAGTGCCTGCTGTGCCAGAACGGCCCCATCTGCAGCCTGTGTTCCCAGAGCAGGGCTGGAAGATCGCCCCGTGTGAGGCTGGCCCCAACCGAGGATGGCGCCGGGGACACTCTCAAGTCACCCGTCAGGTCCTGGAGCAGTATCACATCCCTGCGGGGCCCAGCTCCTTTGGTTCCTTTTCCCTGTCACTGCGGCTTTTATCTCCCGGGTGTCATTTCTGGTTGGAGGAGTAAAGCGAAACCTCATCACTTTGCACAGGCGAAAGGAGATCCCGAGGCACCAAAGGAAAAGTGAAAGCCGAGCAGGGAAGCCGGGGCCACCAGCGCAGCCACCCCAGCACTTAAGGCGGCTGTGATGAAGGCTTGAAGATCTCCTGGGTGCTTTGCTCAGATGTTTGCACCTCACTTGCCGCCAGCTGTAGCTCAGCCTGTTGGTGCCTGGCTGAGCAGCAGCGAGGGCTTTCCCTGATGGGACACGGTCTTGCCATCCTGGGAATCGGCACGTCAGCAAGTGTCTCGCACAGCGATGCCACGCTCCACCATACCCCGGTCCCCAGCCCGGCCAGTAAAGCCTGGCTGCATTCGGCATGGCTCCTCCACACTGCGCTAGTGCCAGCTCCTGCCATGACAGTGGAGGGTCCCCCAAAGCCGGTATGGGCTGGGGACGCCGTGCCATGCCTGGCAGGTCTGCAGGGCACTGGGGATCCGTGGCAGTCATCACTCTAGCCCCAGCAGGTCCCAGCCCCAACTGCAGACGGTGCCGTGCTGGGAATGCGGCCCAGATGGCGACGATGGAGCCCCCTCCTCGGATTCACATGGCCCAATGAGCTGGAGCCACTGGAACTTGCTTGGAGCAAGAAATCCCGGGTGTGTGGGAGGTCCCAGGTGCAGGAAGGAAAGCGAAAATGGGTAGGGCTGAGGGCAGGGTTGGCACCGGCTGAGGCAATCGCCCCATGACTCATCAGCTGCCACATGGCATGAGCATGGAAAAGCCTTGGCCACAAGCCATGCCACTGGAGCAGGGTGGCAAGGAGGAGCCCAGATCGCTCCTTCCCGACACCTTTTGGAGCCAGTCGGCTCGTTTAGGAGGAACCAGCTTATGCTCGAGTTGCTGGTCTTGGAAAAGAAACAGGAAAAAAAAGAAAAAACAAATGAGAAAGTGCCCCAAAAAGCCAGCTTTTAAAAAAAACAACTAAAGAACACAACAACCTGGGTGATGTGCGGGAGCCCTGCCTGTGGCCCAGTGGCACCAGGGCAGGGGACATCAGGTGGCCTCTGCTCAGCAGCCGTCCCTGGACCCATCCTCACCGGCCTGGCATGTCAGTGCCACCAAAGCGCTGCCAGCCCCCACTATGCACCCCATAACCCTTCATCGCCTCTCAGCATATGCGATCTGTAGCAGCCGCTGCAATGTTGGGCTGGTTTGTGCCGCTCTGCATGCCTCGTGCTGCTAACACCACACCCGAGCACGTTCGTGGTGCAATCCCTGCTGTTACATCACGGGTGGTCATCCTGGGGGATGCGCTGAGCATCCCACCGATGCTGGGGAGGGAAGGGCTGTTAATTGCAAAGTTAATTAGCGAGCAGATTTAAACAGACTGTTTTAAATTTAAAATGAGGAAAAAACCTAGACAAGCACTTTTTCCCAGAGCCTTTGTGCCAGCACTGCAGGGATACAGGGTGTCCCTTCCCTGGGGACATTTCCCTGCCCAGGCACGGCTGCGGGGATGCACCTCACCAGGACAAGCCCTGCCAGCCCAGCTGGGGCTTCCCCGGCTGAGGCAGCCGTACAGGGCACTTGCCTCCCACTAGATGCGTCATCCGGTGCAGTCCCGGGCAGGGAGAGACCTCTAGTGCTTCTTCAGGAGATGACAAGCTACCAGCCCCATCCTCACCCAGCAAGGGAGGTTTTTACGGGTGCTGCTCACCCAACCACAAGCCACGCTGGGTGCAGCCTCTTCACCAGTGACCTGCAGCAGGGCTTGATCCAGCATCACCACTCGATGAGATCTTCTCCAACACATGGACACAGAGACCAGCCTAGCATCAGCACTGGGCTTTCCTCCCCATAGCTGTCTTCCTGGGACCCCACCACCCTCCTGGGAGCCACCGAGCAGGGTCAAAGCCTTTGCTCCCTGCCCTGGGCAAGCTGAGCCAGCACTCGGTGACCTCAATAGAGATATGCCCAGGGTCAAGCACCTTCACCAGGTGTTGTGGTTTAACCCCAGCCAGCAACTAAGCACCACACAGCCACCCACTCACTTTCCCCCAGTGGGATGGGGGAGAGAATCAAATTGGAAGGGTAAAAATGAGAAAACTCATGGGTTGAAATAAAGACAGTTTAATAAGTAAAGCAAAGGCCACGCACACAAGTAAAGCAAAACAAGGAATTCATTCACTGCTTCCCATGGGCAGGCAGGTGTTCAGCCATCTCCAGGAAAGCAGGGCTCCATCATGCGTGACAGTTACTTGGGACGCCATCATGCGTGACAGTTACTTGGGAAGACAAACACCATCACTCCAAACATCCTCCTTTCTTCTTCTTCCCCCAGCTTTGTATGCTGAGCATGATGTCATATGGTGTGGAGTGTCCCTTTGGTCAGTTGGGGTCAGCTGTCCCGGCTGTGCCCCGTCCCAGCTTCTTGTGCACCCCCAGCCTGTTCACTGGTGGGGGGAGACACAGAAAAGGCCTTGACTCTGTGTCAGCACTGCTCAGCAGTAACTAAAACATCCCTGTGTTATCAACACTGTTTCCAGCACAAATCCAAAACATGCCCCATACTAGCCCCTGTGAAGAAAATTAACTGTATCCCTGCCAAAACCAGCACATAAGGTTAAGGAGGCTCAGTCTCTGCACCCATGGCAGGACCATACCAGAGAGCCCCAGGACCACAACTGAAGCACCTCCATCTTTCCTCCAGGCACTCTCTCTATGGGGGGGGTGTGGGTGTGCTTCTGTCTTCCTTAATAATGCACCAAGGTGTAACAGAGTGAGGCCACAGCCTTCCCCATGGCATCAGGGCAGCCTTCTTGCCAGGGGCAGGAATTACAGGAAAGGGAAAGGTCCCTGCAGAGGTTGTGCCTGGAATTAAAGTCTCCAGAAAGTAAACAGGAGGGGACCTGTGCTGGGCTGCGTCTGGCTTTGAACCCCTTTGCCTCCATCTGCCCCTCCCCAAAACACAGACACTAATCTTGCCTTTGCAGCATGGGTGAGTGACAGCAGGCTGGGACTGAAGGGAGCATGAACCTGCTCCACTGCGGCAGCAATCCCAGAAAGGCTCCCAAGCTGTGCTGGGGCAAGTAACCTTGTGAGGGCTAAAGCAAGTGCTGGCACAGCACTGAGCAAACCTGGGGTAGATAAGCTGCTGATAGGCCTGCGCCAGCCAGCAAAGCACCAGGGATGGGGTCACATAGTGGTGAGAACCACCCCTTTCCAGCTCAGCCTTCAAAGACAGCACACAGCTCCTAGCTTAGCCTGGGCAGGGAAAGGGGCAAATGGCCCTTTCTACCTAAAACCCATCTATCCCATGAAACAGAAGGCCACTCAGAGCCTAGGTAAGCAATGTCCATGAAGTGCAGTTATTCCCACCCCAGCAGGTGCTCTACAGCCTCTCTTAAAAAGAGGAACCACAAGCAACTTTTTCCTCAGCTTTTTTTTATTATCATGTAATAAATGCAGCAAGTTTCTCAGCTGTTACTATGATTCTCATCCCCATGTGCAATCCAACCACCACAGTCTGAAACTGGACCCTTCCAGTGCTGAGGGGGCCAGCACTGGGCAGACTGGGGGACCAATGTGGACAGGAACCCAAGGGCAGGCATAAACCCACATCTGCTTTCCACAGAAGATCAAAATCTTAATCACCAAAATCGGCATCGATCTTCCCAAGGAATAAGGATGGTTACAAGTGGAGTATTAGGAGACAACCCACTTTTTCCTTCCCTTCCAGCACCAGATCAGGAGAAGGGTTTTCCTCTCACTGTCCCTTGCACCCCAGCACACAGACGTGCCTCACCCAGAACTCCACCGGGGTTTCACGAGAAGAAACTCCCATCATCTCCAGCATCCTGAAACAAGAAGCAGAGGAAGGGTCTCACTCTGCCCAACCAGCTCCCACCTGATGTGGGGCAACATCCACAACCAGAGATAGGTCTCTTCCACCCAAAGCACCAAGGTCTTGATGGCAGATGCTTCCAACACATGCACAAGGGCTGTCCTGGTCAATTAATAAGTTAGCAGGCACAGGGATGCCTCCCCTTCCCAGCTTTGCACCAGGCCCTTATTGTGGGCCAAAATACCTTAAGATGCAGCCTTCAATATTTTTCCTGCCCTCTGCTAATCAAGAGCAAAGCAAAGAAACTCAAGATACATCTGACACAAGACTTGCATGGATACATTAGTACAAGAACACCACACAGCTACATGGACTTAAAGTTTAAGTCAACTGACTCAAACTGAGGTCAATCATGCTGTCAGCAGCTGAGGATCCACTGTTTAACCACTGACAAGTATCCACCCACACCTGGGGGAAGGAGGGAACATATCACTGCACAGCTCACTTCTAGCTTTGAAGGGGTCCCCACAACCTCACTCTTCATTCACTGTGTAAGAGGGGTCTTATGTCCTGCTTGTTTTCCCAAGCAGTTTTCTCACCTCTTTTCAGTCTCTTGGAGGAGGGATTTTGCAGCTTTGGGGTCATTCTTCATAAAGGCTTGATATGGAGAGACAGACTCCAGGTAACCAACCACACCAGCAACAGTCATGGGAATTTTGTCAAAGATATCAGTGATTCTAGAAGGGGAAAGGGGAAGAAAGGAGCACTGGCAAGTTAAATTTCAAAGGCAGTGGAACAAGGACAACAGATTTGAGGTGGTGGTGAATAAAATACCTGACACCAAAGGTCCAACACATGGAAGCAACATCTGACTGTGGGATTTGGTGGGTCAGGTGCTCTAACTGATGCACTACTAGAGAAGCACGGATGGTCCCAGGGACCATCTAACAGTGACTTGAACAGCCCTGTCAGCACAGACCTACTCACACAGCCCGTTCCCCTCCAGCAGCTGGGACACCACCACCTCTGCAACACTGCTGCCAACACATTCTTTTTGCCTGCAGAGTCCATCCCTGCCCCATGCCTTGGTGGGGAGGCAGGTGCCAGCTCCCTTGAGGTCTGAGGCAGGTTCTTTCTCTCCCTCTAGTTTTCCCCTTCACCCATTAAGTGATCTTCCCAGAAGCCTCAAATTGTCATAAACCAACAAAAAAAAATCTAATCCAATTCTACCTTGAGCAGGAAGGGTCTCCGCAGCCCTTAGACCACGCTTCCTGGCCCAACACAGAGCTGCGTTAAGTCCAATGGAGTGGAAATGCAGCCACATGGCTCCGCCACAATGCAAAGGCATTTGCTGAAACCCGGCAGCTACCTGCTCTGACAAACCCAGCTCCCTTGTGTCCTCGCTGGGCCAGTGGCAGAGCAGCCCCGCAGAGACACCACCTCTATCCAACTCCTGGTGCTGCGCCGAGGAGTTTCTGCTCACCTCTTCTTGTCTGGAAATGGCAAGGCCTCAAAAATCTCTTTGTAGTCTTCCAAGACGAGTTTTATTCTATTATGTGAGTATTTTAAAAGCAGGTCCCAGGACTGTAATGACAGCATATTAAAAACAAACACAAAACTACTTGAAGCTCTCAGTTTCCACTTAACTCAGGTTTGCTTGGCCCTAGGTCTGTTGCATTCATACATGTACTTTTTTTTTTAAATACTCCTTGCATTAAAATTCACCAAAATCTTGCTCCTCAATGTCAAGAATTCAAGGATCCTATTTTGTTATAGAGATAAGGGTCCTGTCCTCTACATTGCTGTTACTCATAGTGAAAAGTCTCCCTTTAGTGAGTTGTTAGAACACTCTTTGTCAAGAAACATCACCAAGAAAACCTCTTCCCAAACAGTTTCTGCTTCCCATTCTTTTCACAGTGATCAGGGCAACAGGAGAAGTCTCTTTGACGATACCAGCCCCCCAAATCTGCTCCACAGCCCTTCTCGCCACACCAAAGCCTGCCCTATTAGTCCTAATGTCCCTCTTCTCATCCAGCCAGCCCCAGCACTGCATGGAAACCTCTAACACCCATCTCAACCTTGTCCTGGTATTTAACCATCCCTCTGCCCCATCCTGTAATAGGAGTCCTCTAGTCATAACCCCCCCCCCCAAGCCCATTGCTTTCTTCTCTGCATCCAAGTACTACACATTTCCCCCTGCCCAGACCAGGAGGGGAAGCCCCAAGGTTTGGGTTTCATCACCTCACCTCCCTGAAGGCTTTGGTCAGCTTTTCAGAGCAGTTTCCGTAACGCAGACTCATGTCCACGGTGTAGGTGCTGATGACCACGCAACCACCCGGCTTAACCACCCGGTTTGCTTCTCTCATGAACTTCTCAATATCAAACCAGTGCACAGCCGTAAAGGAAGTCAGGATGTCCACTGAGGCATCCTTGAATGGCAGCTCCTCTGCAGGGCACACACTGGAAGGGGGAAGGAAAAAAGGCAGTGTATAACACGGGAATTAGGAAGCAGGACATGAAGTCAGTGCACATTTTTTGGAGTCGATGATGACCATTTGGGATGCAAGACCACAGCTATTGTAAATCTAGGATAATGCCCGTTCACACCAGGTATCCCATCAAATGGGATTTTCTTTGGTGCCGGCTGGCTCTTACAACAATCATACTCACAAAACACCACCTCTGTATGAGGACCTGAATTTTGCCTTCAGCTGAGCTTGCTCCCCCGACACTCACAGGTAGGAGACATTAGGTAGGGAAGGGGCATCCCTGGCCTCCTGGATCTGCGCTTCGCTGATGTCCGTTCCCACCACCTTCTTGAAGTGTGCCGCAAGGAAGCGGGTGCCTTGTCCAGACCCGCAGCCGACATCCACAACCAGCTCAGCAGGGTTTGCCCTCTGTGAGGAGGACCAGATGCATATCAGCAGGTGGCCAGCCAATTTCTGTGCTTTTACCCCATTCCTTCCCCCAGCATCCACACAGGAACGGTCCTGGCATGGCACAACCCCTAGAAAGGCTCTTCTGTGCCCACATCTTGCCTTGAGCCCTATTGATTTATTCTTCCCTGTGGCACCAACCAAGGTAACACTCCCAGCAGGGTAAATACTACTACCCACAAATATTACTACCTTGTTTTTCTTACAGCCTGGCTATATCCCACTTACCTTTTCCTGCAGGTAGGAGAGGATGGTTTCCTGCAGCTCTTTGCCCGGTGCAAACCTGTATTTCTGGTAGATGGCTGCATGCCCTCTCCCCTCGAACATCTGGGTGGCCATGCTTGGGTGACCTGGCACCTGGGAGGAGGCAACAAGACAAGTTTGTCACTGCAGGATCAGACTCCTCCTGCCTCCTTAGCCTGCGACTGCTAAAGTCTCCAGTTCCTGGTACGGGCCCGGGAAGGACTTTGTCCATGAGGCTCCAGTGAGGGAGCATGAACCTGCTCTCCAAGCATCCCTCCCCACAGGTATAAGCTAACTGCAGAAGCAAACCAGCAACGTCTGACAAGAAAAAGCTTTCTAGGTTTTTAAGCCCTTCTTCCCCTTACTCCTTTGCTTTCCCCACCCACCTGGGTGTATTCTGAAATAAATCAGAATTACAGCTGCAGTATCTGAATTTGGGGGGACTGAGCAGAGCATCAGAAAAATTAACAGCAGAAAAGTTTGGGGTTTGAGTTTTTTTAAGGAAATCCATGTTTTAGTATTAGCAACACAATCACAGCAACTCCAATGTGCACATTCTGAACCGTCCAATATGTTTTCACCCCTTCCTGCCCCAGAAGTGCTCCAAGTCTCCTTTAAATCCAGAGCCCCATTAACCCTATCACCCGGAGCTACATGCAGAGGCGAGCCTGGCCTCACCGCAGGGCCCCTTAGGCCTCCTGCCAGCTCAGCCCTGTGTCCGCAGCACCATCTGCCCAGCCATCAGAGATATTTTCACAGATAAAGCACACAGCTTTCCCCTGCTCACCCACCAGTTTACCCCCACCACCCCCCCCCAGCTGCTGTAAACCACACAGTCCCTGCGCCCACCAGGCAGGGTCCCATGAGCCGAGGCCCAGTGGCTGCCAGCACGTTGCTCTTTGCCCATCGCAGCGCACCAGAAGGCTCTCAGCCGTATCCTGTTTATCCCTGTGCCCAAGCAGGCACCGTCTGAGACGGCAACAGCTCCGTGGTCTGACAACAGACCCTGAGATCCTGCCAGAAGGACTCCCTGCCTCATTTGACGGGCAACTGCACCCTGTCACATGCACACAGCAAGTGAGGTGGGCAGAAGGATGCAACAACAGCAAGTTTCTCAAGTGACACACAAATATCCAACATCGGGCAATAAAGGGTTATTATAGCTTGTGATGCAAATATCCAACATCAGGCAATAAAGGGTTAATATAGCTTGTGATGCAAGAAGAGATGCTGAGCTAGGTAGCGGCTTAGCCAGCTCAGGACTGGACACTCCCAGCAGGGAGCAGCAGCCCTGCCAAAACCCTTTTCGGAAGAGGGTCCTCCAGGTGCTTTCCACGTTCTCGGAGAAGCCTCCTCCCACCAGCGAGCCCCCCTCCCCGCCAGCTTCACCCCTCCTG